AATCTGTTCCGCCTGCGATAAAGGCTCGTCGCCCTTGGAATGAAGAGGAACGCCATCCGGTTCAATGAATGGCTCGTTGGTAGTTTCGTTCCGTGTGGTGTCATTCACATCCGTGAACTCTTCAACTCTTTCATTCTGCTCAGCCTGTGATGATACATCGTCTGCATCAAAATACAATGGTCCTTCAGTCGGTTCGTTTACACAATCATTGTCGACATCATGCAACATGGCATCATTCACATCCGTGTGACCCTCAACGGACTCTAGGTGTTTGAACTGCGGTAGCGGTACGCCGGCGTTGGATTGAAGGGTTGCACCGACCTCTTCAGTTGACTGGCTCGTCGATAGGTTGCTTCCTTGGAGAGTCATTCACATCCGTTGATTTCATAACTGTTTCAGACAGTTCATTCTCTAATGACACATCATCAGCATTTGAAAGCAGGGTTTGCTGAGTCGAGTCGTTGACGGACTCTGGCTCTTGCCACATCGAACCACTGAGGTCTGAGCCTCCCTCAACAGATCCAAACAGTGCGACCTGCGATAACGGCATATTGCCCTGTGAACGAGTACGATCACTAACTTGCTCTTGGACTGGTTCGTTGACGGATTCCTTCCATTTGCTGTCGCTCACATCCGTGTCTTCCTCAATTGTGTCAGGCTGTTCAGTATGTGACGACAAGACGACTGCCTCAGAGTGCAGGAGTTCTTCAGCTGGCCTGTTGAGCACCTCATCGACAACTTCTTGCAAGGAAAGATCATTAACATCCGTGTGACCATGAACAGGTGCAAGATGTTTGACCTGCGATAACGGTACGCCAGCTTTGGAATAAGGAGGATCGTCAACCAGTTCGTTGACTGGCTCGTCGATGTCTTTCTGACGTGTGGTGGCCTTCCCATCCATGTGTTCCTCAGTTGGTTCAGGCTGTTCGACCTGAGATAATAGCACGAAGGCATTGGAATGCAAGGATTCTCCAACCGGTTGGTTCTTGAGCTCGCTGACGAACTCCTGCGTCATGGTATCGCTCTCATCCGTGTGACCATCAACAAGTTCAATCTGTTCCACCTGGGATAAAGGCTCGTCGCCCTTGGAATGAAGAGGAACGCCTTCCGGTTCGTTGACTGGCTCGTTGATAGTTTCGTGCTCTGTGGTGTGATTCACATCCGTGAACTCCTCAACTCTTTCATTGTACCCAGCCTCTGATGTTACATCGTCCGCATGAAAATGTAATGGTCCTTCAGCTGGTTCGTTTACAGAATCATTGTTGACCTCATGACTGCCTCCGATACCGCTCTGCCTTGTGGTGTCAGTCGCATCCGTTTGGTTCTCAGTTAGTTCAAGCTGTTCAGACGATGTTGACAGCAGATCGGCGTTAAACTGGATGGGTTCTTCAATGGCCTGGTTGAAGGGATCTCTGAACGTCTCGTGCCACATGGGATCCTTAACATTCTCATGACGCTCAACAGATTCCAGCTGTCCGGCCTGCCATACTGGCACATCAGTCTTGGAATGAATGAGTTCGGCAACCGGTTGGTTGACCACTTCAGTGGCAACCTCTTGCAGCGAGGCATCGCTAGCATCTGTGTGATCATCAACAAATGCAAGCTGTTCGGCCTGCGATAACGGCACGCCGGCCTTGGAATCAGGAGCCTCGCCAGCCAGTTCACTAACTGGCTCATAGATGTCTTTCTGGTTTGTGGTGTCATTCCCATCAATGTGGTCCTCAGTTGGTTCAGGCTGTTCGGCCTGAGATGATAGCACGACGGCGTTGGAATTCAAGGATTTCGCGGCCGGTTGGTTCTTGAGCTCGTTGACGAACTCTTGCGTCATGGTATCGTTCTCATGCGTGTGACCATCAACAAGTTCAATCTGTTCCACCTGGGATAAGTGTTCGTCGCCCTTGGAATGAAGAGGAACGCCATCCGGTTCGTTGATTGGTTCGTTGGGAGTTTCGTGCCGTGTGGTGTCATTCACATCCGTGAACTCTTCAACTTTTTCATGGTGTTGAGCCTTTGATGATACATTGTCTGCATCAGAATGTAAGTGTTCTTCAATAGGTTCGTGTAGAGAATCGTTTTCGACCTCAGACAACATTGGGTCATTCACATCCGTGTGACTCTCAACAGACTCAGAGTGCTTGACCTGCGATAACGGCACGTTGGAGTTGGATTGAAGAGCTGCACCGACCAGTTCGTTGACTGGCTCTTTGATGGGCTGCTTCCTTGGGGAGTCATTCACATCCGTTCGTTTCGCAACTGTCTCAAGCAGTTCATCCTGCAGTGACGTATTGTCAACACTTGAATGCGGGGCTTCTTCAATGGACTCGTTGAAGGGCTCATTGAAAGGCGCCCGACAAATGGGATCATTCACGTCCGAGAAGCCCTCAGCAGGTGCAAGCTGCTCAACCTGCGAAAACGGGACATTACCCTGTGAATGGGTAGGATCGCTAACTTTTTCTTGAACTGACTCGTTCGTGACTTCTGTCCATACAAAGTCATTGAGATCCGTGTGTTTCCAAATTGTATCAGACTGTGGAGTCTGCAATAAAACATCGTTGGACCTAGAATGCAACAGGTCCTCAATCAGCTCGTTGGCAGGCTCGTTGACAGCATCCTGCCACTTGGAATCCTTCACATTCCCATGACCCTCAATGTCCTTCCTGCTGTTCGGCCCGCGATAACGGCATTTTGGCGTTAGAATGGATAGGGTCAGCGACCAGTTCGTTGACTGCCTTGTTGACGGCTTCCTGTCTCGTGATGTCTTTCATGTCCGTGTGTTTCTCTACTGATTCAAGCTGTTCAACCTGCAGTGGCATTATGCCGGCATTATCATGCAGGGGTTCTTGAAATGGCACGTCCACGGCCTCCTTGACAGCCTCCTGCCACATGGGATTAATGACGTCCGCGTGGCCCTCAGCAGGATTAAATTGTGGGACCTGAGATATCGGCACGTCGACCTCGGGATGAACAGGTCCACCAAATGCTTCGTTCACTGGTTCGTCAATGGGTTCCTGTTCTAAGGACTTAGTCACATCCGTGTGTTTCTCAACTGTTTCAGACTGTACAGCCTCTGATGACGGCACGACAGCCTTCGAATACAGGAGTTCTTCAACCGGCTGTTTGACCGCCTCATTGTCCTGCAACGAGGGATCTTTCACATCCGGGCGACCATTAACAGGTGCGAGCTGTTCGGCCTGCGATAATGGCACACCGGCCTTGCAGTGAAGAAGCTCCTCAACCAGTTCGTTGACTGGCTCGTTGACATCTTCTTGCCATGTGGCGTCAGTCGCATTCGTGTGCTTCTCGGGTGGTCCAGGCTGTTTAGCCTGTGTTGACAGCAGATCTGCATGAAAATGCAAGGGTTCTGTAACGAGCTGGTTGAATGGGTTGCTGACGGTCTCCTGCCACGTGGAATCGTTGACATCTTCATGACCCTCAACAGATTCTAACTCTTGGGCTGTCCACACTGGCACCTGGACCTTGGTATCAAGTGGCTCGCCAACTGGTTCGTTGACTGGCTGGTTAATATCTTCGTGCAATGTGGTGTCATTTGCATCCGTTTGTTGGGCAGCAGGTTCAGGCTTTTCGGCCCGAGGTGATAGCACGACGGCGTTGGAGTGTATGGGTTCGCCAATCGGCTTGTTGACGGGCTCGTTGTCTCCGAGAACGGAAATCACTCCCAGCTTGTTCTCATCTACTTCCGCATGGGGTGCAAAGCCACCTGCATCGGTGCGTTGTTCGTCAGACCGAGAAGCATCCGCTTCTTGTTCGTCCCGGCTCGTATCTCTGACTTGGTCTTTCGGAAGAACATGGTTTTCGCAAGCGGTTGTCGTGTCGTAGTCCGACACCCATTTTCCATCGTTCGGGTTTTGCTCAGATCGCACCAGTTGGCTTCTTGCTTTCTCTGCATGTTCCAGTGTAAGTGGTGCTTCAGGAGTGATGTCGACACGCCCGTGGTTGATCCCAAGGACCCCGTTCAATTCATTGGCTCCAGTTTCCATTAAAGTTTCGCGTTTCCCGGCGGGGTACACCGGGTCATGCAGGAAGCCCTGTGCTAGCCCGTCAGCGCATCCAAGAATGTCGATGTTATCTGCATCAATGTGCTCCTCATCAGACTGAAGCAAGTTTGTCCTCACATCGCTGTCCGTTTTCATCTCATCCAGAGCAAACATATCTACGTCGGTTGGCTTCTGATCGTGTCGGAGCATTTCGCTCTTCGGCTCTGACAAATGTGCATCTGGGATTTCATTGCCCATGTCGAAATCTGCTGCGTCGCTTCTTATTGATTCAGATTCTGATGTAACGTTTGTTTGATTCGAGGATATTTCACTGACACTCGGAATCTCGTCCATAGTGTACAAATATGCGGGCGCAGCAAATGGATTACTTGCATGGTCACTTGAGACCGCACCACCCACACCAGTTTGTTCCTCGTCGGGCTGAGAAAGTGCCGCGGTTGACACTTGTGGGTGTTCTCGTGGCATTACCTCGCTAACAGCAACATTCTCATCAGCGGACTGTTTAAGCTCATTTTTTGGTTGGCCCGCCGGTACTGATGGTGACTTGGAAGCCTCATCAACATGATCCGCAACGGACTGAGATGATTCTGTTTTTGACCGGTTGTCATGCTCGCCCGCGTGAAGGCGCTCCGCGTCACTGCGGTTCTCAGAGGACTGAGACGACGCTTTGCCGGGATCGTCGAGCTGTGATTGAGCCGCGTCCGACGCTGCGCTGTCGCGACCAGACGGAAGCGGTCCCGTCATGGATGTACCAGCCGACGCTGGCGAGACAATGACATCCGTGTGCAACCGGCCCTCTGTAGGCCAACCCACTTTGATCCCTGACTCGCTCACACTTTTCGGCCCGAGCTTTGTTATGCTTCCAAAAATTCCATCTGTTAGCGCACCGTGTTCGGGATGAACGGCTGCGGTATGATGTGTATTTGAAAAGCGAGTTTGCGACAGGTTCTCTGGTTCATCCACAAGCCAGTGGTTTTTGTTTACCTCCATAGGCGGTCCACGCACAGACTCGCTGTTCTTGTTCATCTCGTCGGTAAGTCCATCCAGAGGCGACCCATTCTTGTTCGTCTCCTCGGCGAGTTCGTCCAGGGGCCAACCGTGTTCGCTCTCCTTGTGAGCAGCTGCGCTCAGGGGCCGGTCATTCTTGATCATCTCGTCGGCGTATGGGTCATTGTCGGCCGCCGTTGCCACCGAGAAAGCGGACATGCCGCCACCGGCGCACCTTTGGTCTGTAACGAAACCAGACAGAGTTAGTCTCCAAAAGGCTAACGTTTCTTTGGTGTTTTGAAGGATGTGGTGCGTCCCACCGGTGGTGTTCACTGCACATATGCCCGCTGAAGAAATAACTTGCGAGATTGATGTAGTCCCACATAAAGAGTTGCCCCGGCAAGGCGGGCCAACTCGGTACATGTTCTAGGCAGGGAGGTCTAGGCATCACAGTTTGTTATCTTCCCGCAGGGGCGCCAAGGAATCCATACATAAAGTACACGTGAGGGAAATGTGCCGTATTTGAAGACACTGAGACAAGCATGAGATATGATGGGAAAGCTCACTTCTAACTGTTGGGATGCTTTAAGTGCAAAAGAATGCTCTTAACATCCAAATTTCACTCTTTAACACGAGCCCGGTTTGCTATTGGTTGGAGCCCGGTTGGATACCCTTGGCTCGGGTGAAAGTCAATTTGACCCTGATGAGATCTCAGGATTTACAAGGGCTAGAGATACCAAACTCACAGAGTGTGTTAGCTTGCACGTGAAGTCACGTAGGTCACAGTTTGAGGTTACTAGGCCATACCATTTGGGTCAAATAAGTTCAAACAAGGTCCCCAAAGTGCCCCTAGCACCTAGATACCTGCTCTAAGCAAAAGTTCACACGCTCCTTTAAGGCCAGTGTCCTTGTTTGATCTTGCTAAGGTCATGGTAGCCAGAATCACAAAAGAATGCTTTGAGTTTTGCATTTAAATAAGCGACAAAGATGACAGTGGGCGGTATGTTCCTAAAAAACGAAATCTTGACCTGGTAATTTTAGGTCAGTGACCTTTTATAAACTTTAAGAAGTCAATGGAATATGTCTTATAGGTCTCCTTCCATCGATCAATTGGAAATAAGCACCAAAAACTACTCCATACAGCAAGCCCTCGAGTAATAAAACAGGCTGGTTTTGGCCTTGGTTTAACCTTCAGATCTGACCCTAGGTCAATAGAATTGGGTCATTCAATTGTTGTTATGTCGAAGGAAGCATCTCAGAGATGTATGGCCCCGTCTAACACTCCGTTGTTCCATCAGATTCAACAATTCTCTAGAAATTCACATCGCTGAATCCATAGACTGAATTTAACCTGCCCTAGGTCAGCGACCATAAAAGCTACACCCATTTTTTTATACCACATGATCTACTATTCAGTTGTCTACAGCTATGCATAATTTGGCATGGCTGCGCAGCACCGTTCGGAAACTATTCCGGAAAAATCCTCGAGGGTCAATGTGACCCCTACGCGAGTGCGTGTTAATACACATGTTCTCCAATGCGTCATCGTTTGATGACGTCAGGGCAAGTTTTTATTACGTCAGAGCCGCTACCAGACTGGCTATGTCATAATCGTCATTGAAGCGGACACGCTGATTCACTTGAAGTACTGTATTTCACCGGGAGGTGACTTCTTAATTTATGCACGCGCAATGAACCGTTATGCGCGTAAGCCGTGTACTACCGTTATGTGAACGTGTTTTGACCCTTTATTGTAGTTCTCTTGATATTTGTTGTGATTGCATGCTTCTCACTTGAATTTCCGAATTCTTAGTTATGGAGCTGTTACTTATTTCTTCGATTCCCAGCCCCATTTTGTCATGACTACCAGAACTTCCCTGAACTGTCCTTGCATTTACGCGTTGGACTGGATGACAGCCAACTGCTGTCCGTTGATGCGGCGATTAGTACTAACGTGCCATAGTCACGAAAACTCTGTGGTCTTATTTCTCTCGACCTTAAATGGATTTGACCAACGAGGAGGCGGAATTCGTTACCCGTTTCTAGTGCGTCACGCATCTCCAAAAGCACAAGTTACCGTATATCTAGCTCAGAAACGTCAGGATCTTGATTCTTAAAAAGGGCTTGACTGAACGGGAGGGCATTATCTTAAAAATGGCTATCGTATTCCAACGCCCATACAAATGTGAACCAGCCTCTTTAAAAGAGCAAGGACATGGAGACTGCGTTGCACACTGGCAGTTCCATCAACGACGACTTCAGCCAGCCTGTCGGCGGGTGAGTAAGCCACTTGCAGCTGTTCGGCCAGATTGGCCGATTTCCAGATGTGCAAAATCTTGAAGGAGGGGATTTCCTTCTGATTTTTGTGTACCTGTAGCTGAGTTGAGCGGGCCATAACTGGGTGACGACTGCTCTGACGACGAGCGTTGATTAAGCATGCCAACCATCATATGCGTTTTTGAAAAATGCGCGTAAGTGTATCATGATGCATCAGCGCATGATATGTATGTTATCTTCCGAATATTTTATGTTAGTTATCTTTGCCTCTAGCGGTACCTGAGGTCGCTCTTGCCCATAGACGTCATTAGACATGTCAAGCATACTAAAGCCGTCTTTTAATGCTGACATATATTAACCAGCGCATTCTAGTCCACTGAGGATCAGTTATCCACGAGATAAGAGATCAAAGTGCAACAAAATCAATCGATAACGGATTGGGAAAACTTATTCTCCACAGAAAAGTGAGATTGCTTCAGAAATAGGTAGATCAAGGCAGATAGCCAACAAAGTCTTATATTTACCCGCAAAGAATTTAATTCAGAAGATATAACGTTCCACAGTGGTGACGATGACCTGGTGTTTTTTCCAGAATCAGCTGACACTGTAACGGCCACCTCTATTGTGTCAACAAAAGCATCGTTTTGTGACATCTAACGCATAGCGATATGTTTTTTCTTCTACTGTATTACTGAGATATACAGCGATAATATGACACTGTTGGGTACGTAGCATGCTTATTTCTACTGATGGTAAGACCAAGTGGTTTGCACCGCAGTATAGGAAAGAATTAAGTATCATCGTTTACAGGCATGCATTGGAATCTGTCTATGCTCCAACGGTCATAATTTTCATGACATCAGAGCTCATGAGTACTTACGTGGCTCTAAAAGAGTATGATATATGCGCAGCTGAAACGTGTTTGACTGGATTTTCTTTCAAAACATTCCTTTTCATTCTGCACCTCTTTTAAACTCCTGAGAAAACTCATTTAATTTCCGTTTGGTAACATCACGAAGAGAGATCCCCATCGACACGTGGCTTGCCGCATCGCCGTAAAGTTGTTCAAAACGGCAGCATCAGCCGGAGTGTCTCTGGCTCTCTAATGATCATGCTACAATGTGGCAAGTAACATTTTACGATATAGAACTCAAGTCATCTACTCACAAAGCTCGTGACAAGATGCGTTAAGGGAACCTCCGTAATGGTATTTGCTTGCACAATTATGTTATTACTCACTCGATCGTGCCTAAAAAAAGAGCATAACACGGAAATGGGTTAAGAGTTGTAAGTGGAGTGTTTCATCATTACGAAAAGCGACCAATATCATGTTGACAGCAATGCCGCTTTTTGAACTCAAGTTTTAAGTTCTGACCGATTGGATTTCAAAGCAGACAAGCCAATATGGTTAGTTCTACTTCTTTCGAAATGCTATTTCTACATTATCATATGGGATGTGAAAAGGTGCCGCGTGGACAGAAGACCAGCAAGGTGTTCTTCAGAAAACCGTCCGGGATAGCTTTATATCATTTTTGGTAGGGTTCACGCCTTGCGTTCGTAATCTTGATATCATCACCCCAAATTTTAGAGACACCCAAGAGTGCTTTACGGCAAGGCTCACGCCTCTGTACTCACAAACGCAACTTAACCGTTAATAATCCTGTAACGCTTCAAGGCAATTTACGGTACAGCTCACAGGAAGACCAATTGTTAGCGTGAAACACTACCGTCCACTGCCCATGCGTCAACTACGTCATGTAGTGGACTGTTTACAAACGGCCGTAACGCGATGAGGCAAAACACGGCTTACCACATCGCGTTGTGATCACTGGAAAGCCACCCGCACTCGAGACCCACGTCATCTTTTCTCATTGACGGAATCGCTAAATGGCGATGTGGCTGTGTCAAAACGGCCACGAGCCGGGCTATGTCGTCACATCATGCTGAGGCAGTTCGGGGTTTGCCACATCGTGATGTGACCGTTTTATACGACCAGAGGCCGTTTCCAGGATTGAAGCCTATCTGTACTGGTTTGACCACATCATCCGCAGCCCTGCAGTCACGTAGCGCAAATTTCGTCCAGGAGGGCCCAGTCAGGTTTAAATGACCCTTTCAGCTAAGGGGTGCCTATTTGTCGCTGTAGGGCTCCGGTTTCGGATTACGGGAAGATCAGAATCCTATTCTGATGCCTTAAGTCCCGTTTTTGTATTCTAGAAATCCTAAGCCAATGGGTCCCCTTCCTCCACCACCCCAGACTTGAGTTGCTGCTAGCAAACGTGATCCAGCCGGACCTCTGCGTGGTCCCGCTGCTGAACGTATACACCGTGCGCTTGGAGGCCCTTATCGCAATCCCGTCCCATTGTGGACCGTGGAGTGTCGAGATGCCATACGCTTACGTCAACGAGCATTTCGTGCGTTTGACCGTTGCAGCACTGAAGCAAGCATAACAAGTTTCAGAAGGCTTGGCCGAATGCTCGGCGTACCGTTCGGGAGGCCTAACGTGCCTCCTGGCGGTCTTATATCAATCCGAGAACCGTTTCACCTCGACTTCACAGGCTTGGTCAAGAACAAGCGAATGCTGGGATGGTATAGCTCGGTCCCGCTCCCACCGCTGCAGTTGGCGATCAGATGGCATAGCTCGGTCCCGCTCCCACCGCTGCAATTGGCGATCAGATGGTATAGCTCGGTCCCGCTCCCACCGCTGCAGTCGGCGATCAGATGGTATAGCTCGGTCCCGCTCCCACCGCTGCAGTTGGCGATCCGATGGTATAGCTCGGTCCCGCTCCCACCGCTGCAGTCGGCGATCAGGCCTCAGGCGATCAGGCCTCGATCAGGCCTCGACACACCCGGCTGATGTGGCAAACGAGATCGCCCGAGCGCTGCCCGAGCGGCTAGGTATCAGCACCTGCCGCAGTGCCGTGTGCGGGAACATCGCCCTCGATTTCTCCACATCCGAGAACAATTG